GCATACAGGAAAAAGCTCATGGATTGTTATATCGTAGAGTAACGAATACAAAAATATAAACAATTATATATTTGATTTAATTTACAATTGTTCAGTTACAGCATAACAAAAGGTGGAAATATACATAATATAAAAAAGTATGTTCTATCGATACAATAGATTTCCAATGTTAAAATTTCTATATATTAATCTCGATTTTGTATATATGTATATGTAGTTTTATGACAGTTTACAATCTCTTTTCCCTCAACCATCGATTTATACCGTTCTTTTTATATATCTTTAATACTTTGATTGTACATCAAAAGAATGGCTTTGTAGTCACTTGAGTTGCTTCTTCAGGTTGTCTGCCAACTTGTCCATAAACTCAAATGTTTCTAAATAATCGGATCTGGTAACATTGTTCATGCCTTTAATACATATTGCGAGATCCTTGGTCATAAAACCTGACTCAATGGTATTGATGCAGACTGCCTCCAAAGTTTCTGCAAATTTCTCTAAAGATTCGTTGTTGTCTAGCTTCGCACGATGAAGCAAACCTCTAGTCCACGCGAAGATCGAAGCGATCGGGTTGGTCGAGGTCTCTTTGCCTTGCTGATATTGACGATAATGTCTGGTAACTGTACCATGAGCTGCTTCGGCTTCTACCGTTCGTCCATCCGGACAAATTAAAACTGAGGTCATCATACCTAGAGATCCGAATCCCTGTGCCACAGAATCAGACTGAACATCTCCATCGTAATTCTTACAAGACCACACAAAACCACCCTCCGACTTCATTACGTATGCTACCATATCGTCAATTAAACGATGTTCATACCAAAGCTTCTTAGCCTCAAACTGCTTTTTATATTCTTTGTCGTATATTTCCTGGAAAATGTCTTTGAATCTACCATCATACTTCTTAAGAATTGTATTTTTAGTAGAAAGATACAAAGGATAATCTTTGGAAAGAGCATATTTGAAAGAGCTGTGAGCAAAATCACGAATACTCTCATCTGTATTATATTGAGCTTGTGCAATTCCAGGCCCCTTGAAAGTGTTTACTAAGTGTTGAATTTTCTCTCCATTGTCCCCAGTCCATGTGATTTCAAGTTTGCCTGGTCCAGGCACTAGGAAATCTGTTGCTTTGTACTGATCAGCATGGGCGTGTCTCCCAATAATGATCGGTTGACGCCAACCAGTTACCAAGCGTGGAATGTTTTTACAGATGATGGCCTCACGGAAGACTGTACCTCCTAAAATATTTCTAATAGTACCATTAGGACTTTTCCACATTTTTTTCAAATTGAATTCTTCTACCCTCTTCTCATCAGGTGTAATAGTAGCACACTTTATCCCTACATTATACTTTTTAACAGCCTCAGCACATTCTACAGTGACTTTGTCTTCGGTTTTATCCCGATTCTCTATGCCTAAGTCATACGTATGTAATTCAATGTCTAAATATGGTAAAATCAGCTTTTCTTTTATCGAATCCCAAATAATTCGGGTCATTTCATCTCCCAAAATATCAACAACAGCTCCTGCCTAAAATAAATCATAATGAGAAAATATTATAAAAATTACGGGAAATTATTTTTAATATTTAAAGTAGGAAATACTACTTTTAATATAAATACAATACGTTTTATATACGTATATGAAGATATATATATATATAGATTCACAAGTGTCAGTGACATAGCTTTACAAACTGCTCACCTTTATTTTTGCCATTATTGTAGCTGAAACACTGAATGTCCTTGCAAATGATTGTGTCGTCTGATCGTGAACCAGCCGAAGTTTTGACGACAATATTCGTGAGAACGTAGCACTGTTACTAGCTGATTCAAGGCCCGCTGTACTCCTTATGAAATGCAGATTCGATCGAATGAAACGGTGGGGCGAGAACATGGCGCTTTACCGACGTTTCTACTTTTTACTTGAAGCAGTTCTCGAGAGATTTTCGATGTCGTATAATCAGAAAATCTTTATCTACTATCTTCTTGACCATGAAATATAATTACGTACGTGTTATCACTATTTTTCTACACATAGTTATTTTCGACAATTTTTATCATAGTATGTAATTTCATCACACGAACCAAATATGTATTCACAATTTCTTTAATTTTCTTTCGCTTCTTAACGTGCACGCTTTTACACAAAATTGTTAACTGTGCATTAGATACCTAGTGCATAACAATGTCTACGAAGGATCGATTAAATCAATCGATAATGTTCATTTAGCATAAGCGAAAATATGCATAGTGCCTGTTATCTTTGAAAAAAGTTCACGTAATCTCTGGAGTTTGAACTGCTATGGGTAAACAAAATATTTGTGTGCGAAAATTCAAATAATAGAATTGTGCGCTTCTCGACCGAGATATTTATATTTTCGTTCATACTCATAATGAAGCATACTCATAGTTTGTAAACGTGTGTAATAGTTTGTAAAACTAAATATTGAAATAATTTAAAAGATTTGTAATAACATAAATAATGTATGATGTGCTTACGTTCATTGAGTATGAAATGGAAATTATTGAACGTTTATCAACAGAGATTTCTTTTGTGTCCTTCGAATTTGCATTTCGCAAGCATGTAAAACTTGATTAGTAGGAGGTCACTACGAATTAAAATACGTATATGTACTCTATGTATATCTAAAAATAAACAAGATAAAAAAACTCCATCAATCCTCTTTGAGAGGTAATTAAAGTTTCTAAAATAGTTATTACTTTCTATCTGGTTTTTCAAGTTTAACCCTGTTTAATTCATTCTTTATGATTTTCTTGCACGTAAAACATGAATGACAACGATATTCAATGGTATTCAATTCTTACAAATGTCGGTAATTTTAAAAATAGTGGTCTTGTTGTTATGTGACACCTTCATGTTGACCCGTACTTAAAAGTCTCTTATAATATGCAATAGGTTCGTATTCTTTGTTGAATATCTCTTGTGCAACGATAATTATTGATTGCCACATTTATATAATTAATATTCAAATGTTTCGTACGCAATAACACGTTAGAAACGTCCTGTCGATGTGGCTAAAGGCAAAAGCTTAGTCACTCCGCCATAGATGGTGCCACAAATGTTTTTAACATTTAAACGTGAACGCGCCATAATAATCAATTCATAACCTGCACAATATTAATTTAGGAATCCCAAGAGTAAAAGAATGAAATAAATATTCAACTCTTCACAACTGTATTATGCAAAGAAATTAAGCAATAAATAATTACAAGCTGTACTTACAACGTAAAATTTCTATTCGAACCTTTCCGCCATTAAATTGGATCTCACTGTATGCTGTATGTGCATACTTCGAAAAGAATAGGTTTTTATGCAGTTAATAAAAGATTATGCAATTATAACGATTAAATGGATAATTAGTAATTATTTACAAAGTCTACCAATATTTAGAAATATGTATTTTAGTTACAGCTTTCCTCTAAGAAAAATTAGGGATGTTTGACTTTCGTGCAGGTTAGGTCGACAACCTCTTTAAAATGATGATGAAATGCTGTACCCCCTGTAATGACTTTTCATTTTGAGAATTACTTCTTTTGTGTTAACATTAGTGATGATTGTGCTTAGGCGATTGTTTACGAAAGGTATTCTTTGTCAGCGATTAGAATATCGTAGTCCAACGATTAAACATGGACAATTATTTTACACGTCATTAACGCCGTTAAATCGAATTAACGGGAAAACATGTATATTTTCCACATTAAGATATCACAGCAACAACACCGTACAAGTGAACATTTTAAAATCGACCGGGCGTATCACAACAAAACCAAAGAATGTGTCGGAACTTAAGAGTCTAATGATGTTAGCTGCACCTGAGAAATGGAGATTGTTTGGTGCCATTACATTTCTGCTAGTCTCGTCTGCTGTCACAATGGCAGTACCGTTCTGCTTAGGAAAAATAATCGATATAATCTATACTAAGGACACAGAGAACATGAGGAAAAATCTCAATCAATTATGTATTGTCTTTTTTGGAGTATTCGTTGTCGGAGCTATATGTAACTTTGCTAGAGTGTATCTAATGTCAACAACGGGGCACCGAGTTGCTCAGTCTTTGAAAAGAGAATTATACAGTGCAATTTTACATCAAGAAACAGCCATGTTTGATAAGCGTAGTACAGGAGAATTAGTTGGCAGATTAACCGGTAGGTTCTTTTATTATATGAAATAGGAAAATTAATTAAATTTTACCTTATTATTGATTTGTTCGTTTTAGGAGATACACAACTTGTTAGCTCTGCCATAACTACTAACATATCGAATGGACTACGTTCTGCCATAATGACTATTAGTGGAATGTCTATGATGTTCTATGTTTCACCCACATTGGCTGGTGTTGGTTTAAGCATAGTCCCACCGATTGCTGGTATAGCAATAATTTACGGCCGCCACTTAAAGAAAATTTCTAAAGATATTCAAAATAATGTAGCCACGTTGAACACAATAGCTGAGGAAAAAATTTCCAATATAAGGACAGTGAAGAATTTTTCCAAGGAGAAATCCGAAATTAAACGTTACAATTCCCAGTTAGAAAACATACTTAGAGTATGTTACAAAGAAAGTTTGCTCAGAGGAATATTTTTTGGATTCACTGGTTTTACTGGAAATGCAATTATTCTTTCTGTGTTGTATTATGGTGGAGTCATGATCTCTGATGCTTCTATTACAGTCGGAAGCTTAAGTTCTTTCTTGTTATATACAGCATATGTAGGAATTTCTTTAAACGGATTATCTTCGTTTTATGTTGAATTAAATAAAGCACTAGGTGCAAACACACGTATCTCTGAATTGATACAAAGACATCCAAAAATACCTGTTGAAGGTGGTAAGATTTTAGAGAAGGATTTATCAGGTGATATTGAATTCCGAAATCTCAGTTTTGCTTATCCTACAAGAAAGAACGTATCTGTATTGAACAATTTCAATTTGATCATTTCGAAATCTACAGTAGTTGCTCTTGTTGGTTCTTCGGGTTCTGGAAAGTCTACAATAGCTTCGCTTTTATTAAGGCTATATGATCCAGATTCGGGATGTATAATTATGGATGGTCATGATCTAAGATCTCTTGATCCTATGTGGGTAAAGTCACAATTAAGTATTGTTTCTCAGGAGCCAGTACTATTTAGTGGTACAATAAGAGAAAATATATTGTATGGAGTAGAAGATTCAAGAAAATGTGAATCAGAAATAGAAAATGTTGCAAAAGATGCATACGTCTTACAATTTACAAAAGACATGCCAGATGGTTTAAACACTATAATCGGAGAAAGGGGTGTTACACTCAGCGGTGGGCAAAGACAAAGGGTTGCTATTGCTAGAGCACTATTGAAGGTAAGACCATTCATAAAATAAAAATGATTTATCCATATAAATTCTATTTTAAAATCATTTCGTATTTAGGAACCAAAAATTTTAATTCTGGATGAAGCAACAAGTGCGCTAGACGCTGAAAGTGAACATTATGTACAAGAGGCTTTAAAAAATGCTATCAAAGGGCGAACCGTATTAACAATAGCCCATAGACTTAGTACGATAAAAAATGCTGATAAAATTATAGTTTTGAATAAGGGTCAGGTAGCAGAAACAGGAACGTATAAAGAACTTATGAATATTGACAATGGATATTTTTATAAATTGGTTCAACATCAGACTTTCACATAAACTCGGGATTAACTACACACGTATTATGAAATACGCACATGCATTACATACGCGCATAATAAACGTGTTAGGAATCGAGTAAAATAAAGGAATTGGAGTGAAGCCATTAACATAGGGCATTGAAAATTACATGAGACTTGTAATAAATAATTAGTAAATTTATTAATTTAATTTCTGAAATACATTATCTTATTTTGTAATCTATGAATTACGTCTTAATTATTGGTTATTCCTGCATACCACATATCGGGTGTTGAGAATATTTTTAAATAATACGAAAAAGGTGTGTACTTAAATAACTCTTACAATTACTGACTGTATTATTCTGTCATTTAATTTCTGACTTTTTCATCTGCAGGAAGTATGATCACGCTGATAAAAGGTAAATTCAGAGATGGGAATGATATATGTGTTCAGTGTGCCTTCATTTAATGTATTAAAATAATTCGTATAATGCGGAAAGTACTTATTAACGGATTGTAACTCGTGTTAATACAAAAACAGTAAAGCCCTGTATACGTATACATGTATATGTACATATGTATATGCATATGTATATATAATTTCTGTTCTAAGGTGTAAGGCAGGTATTATAAATAATTCCACTT